GCGCCCGGGGACAAACTTTTCGATTTGAACCTCCCCCCCCCCCCCCTCGAGATTTCCATTTGCACCCCGCCCTCAAACTTTCGATTTGCACCCCTCCCCCGAGATTTCCATTTTCACCCCCCCCCCCCCTCAGCCTTTCAATTTATTTTTCCAACACATTTTGGCGCCCCCTAAGGTCGGCGCCCACTGGGATTCTTAACCTGGGGGCCCACTGGGATTCTTAACCTGGGGGCCCACTGGGATCCTTAACCTATGGGCCCACTGGGATCCTTAACCTATGGGCCCACTGGGATCCTTAACCTGGGGGCCCACTGGGATCCTTAACCTGGGGGCCCACTGGGATCCTTAACCTGTGGGCCCACTGGGATCCTTAACCTGGGGGCCCACTGGGATCCTTAACCTGGGGGCCCACTGGGATTCTTAACCTGGGGCCCACTGGGATTCTTAACCTGGGGGCCCACTGGGATTCTTAACCTGGGGGCCCACTGGGATCCTTAACCTGGGGGCCCACTGGGATCCTTAACCTGGGGGCCCACTGGGATCCTTAACCTGGGGGCCCACTGGGATTCTTAACCTGGGGGCCCACTGGGATCCTTAACCTGGGGGCCCACTGGGATCCTTAACCTGGGGGCCCACTGGGATCCTTAACCTGGGGGCCCACTGGGATCCTTAACCTGGGGGCCCACTGGGATCCTTAACCTATAGGCCCACTGGGATCCTTAACCTGGGGGCCCACTGGGATCCTTAACCTCAGGGCTAGTGTAGCCTACACCCGAAGATGACCCTGTACAAGTAAAAACCAACCCTTACCCTACCCCACAGCACCATTGCTACTATTTATGCAACCATCTATAACACACACACACACACACACACAATGGGTGAATAATTCACTGTAACTACAGAATTTGAAATCTGTAGAATAAATCCGACATATTTTAAAATATTTCCTCCACCAAAACCTGCAAGATAGGTTCGATTTTTTTATACATCGCATAACCAATCTCATTATGATTCGCTTATGGATATAGGCCTATATTTTTAAAAATGCATCTCTATACACGCGATGGCCAGCTAATGACCGCTAAAAGACACGGTGTTATCTCCCTTTGCACTCAAATTTTCCAGGTGAAAACCAGTCACTTTACGAGAGTTCTAGCCCCTGTCCACGCCACTCTAGCCGGTGTCATAGCCCAGCAGGCTTTGCGCGGTATCGGCACGAACCGTGGATTTGTCGCGGGGTCTAGGCGCGATAATTATGTACACACAAAACAGGGTTTGGAGTGGGTGGGCCTGGGGGACGACCCCGAGGAGTGGGAGTGATAAGGCAGGCTAGTGGATTAGGCCACTCATTTGCTTCTCGTTTCAAAACAATAATCGGCCCCGGACCGGGGATTCCCGCTAGCAGTGGTACAAGGTCCCAACATATGTACATGGTGTACTAACACCTGACATGCGTACATAGTGTACCGACATGTGTACATAATGTACTAACACATGAGATGCGTACATAGTTTACCGACACGTGTCCATAGTGTACTAACACCTGACATGCGTACATTGTGTACTAACACCTGACTTGTGTACATTGTGTACTAACATCTGACAATTGTACATAGTGTACTAACACCTGACATGCGTACATAGTGTACTAACACTTGACTTGTGTACATAGTGTACTAACATCTGACATGTGTACATAGTATACTAACACCTGACATGTGTACATATTGTACTAACACCTGACATATGTACATAGTGTACTAACACCTGACATGCGTACATTGTGTACTAACACTTCACTTGTGTACATAGTGTACTAACATCTGACATGTGTACATAGTGTACTAACACCTGACACGTGTACAAAGTGTACGAACACCTTGTGTACCAACAAATGAAAATTACACATAATGTACAAGCACTCACTATTTACTCGTATTGTACACCTGAGATCTACACAGTCTACAAGCAGCTGATATTTACACATCGTGTACAATCATCTAACATTTAGTGTACAATCACCTAACATGTACACATAGTGTACCAGCGCCCATAGAGCCCATAGCACCCCTAGCTCTAATAATACCCCACCCCACCTCCGTGTAAGAACCGCAGGAGGCGGCTTATGTGCCTTACAACAACTTATTACATTACAATCTTCAAAATGAGTTTTTTTTACTTTTTTTCCCTCTTTGATCTTCAAATCTCCACTGATTTATTACAGTAGGGCTTAAGATTTATACGAATCGTGAAAGATATGTACACTTATAAAAATCGTGTACATATACGTTTAATAAAATTAAAATATGATGATAAAAACATTTTAATAATATGCTTTTATACATGCACTAAAAAAGATTTTTCAAAACATAAAATAATGCACCACTATTTAAATAACATCAAAGAATAGTATGGTGGCTTATATAATATTACTAGTTTTTAACTGTAAAATATTGTAATCCACTTTTTTATAGTTTGCTGAATAGATCTACATATTTAAAGAAAAGAATGTTTTCTTTTTTTAGTGAACATAAAAATCTTGTTATTAAAAATATTATTATTATCATTATTTAAAATAAATGTATTGAAATAAATTGACAGCTAAAAATCCATGTGGACCAAATGAATACGAATAATGTGTGTATGATGACACGGATAATCAGGACTACATAAGCCTATACGAAAATTTAATCAATAAAAAAAATTAGACAAACATCTATTCAAGTCACATTTTATTGCCTTGCTATCGGGTCTTGACCCACTTGTTAATTTGGAAAGAAATCGATCTGGTGAAAATTGAAATCTTTCTTGCAGGTATTATATATATTCATGAGAAAAAAATACTTTCTCGTACACATTTACCCCTTATTTAAAAACCAGAACGTTTTGACGAGGCCGAAATTTGCTAACATATCTTATAACAGTACCAAAGTTGGCGCTTTATCTCCCCTTGTTTCCATTTCATAAAGTTATCCCGTGAGTTCTGTGCAGTGTTTCTTTCAGACATTTTTCTCCGGGAGGATGTGAGTGAGGGATACAAAGTACTTGCAACTTTCTGGGTTGGTAAACTTAAATTTTGGGGGAAGGGGGCGGAGGCTGGTTGAAGTATATATTTTGTATATACATTCTATTTCTTTCGGAGATGGGGATACTAGCTCTAAGGGGGCGGTGCCCCCACCCCCACCCCCCGAAGAGTTGCCCGAAAGAAACCCTAGCCCTAGCTTTATCATTCTAGAACATGAAACTAATAACATATTAAATATGTTGAATCTTTATTTCAAGCTTCAAATTACCTTTTTTTTCTTCAAATTTACCTCTCCCCTAAGCGTCCGCCATTTTTTTTTTCCATTTCCCCCGGGGTTCAAGAAAAAAATGTCCCACTTCAATAAAAAGTCAGGCGTCCCTCGATTAGTCCAGTATCGTAAGTTAGTTTCACATCGCAGTACGAGGTCACTACCTAAGCACATCGTAAGCGGTGGTAATGCTAAGGGCGTGACATCGCCCCGGCAGGGTGCGAGAGCCTACTAATCTTCCTGTTTGGAAAGCGGAAGTTCCCCAACTCGTTATCTGCGCGTGGAAAGTGTTTAACGCTCAAGTGTCAACGGCGTGGTCACGTGGGGGTCGGAAGATGGCGGCTGCAGGTGTCCCCCTCGTCTGTTTGTCCACAGTCCCTGTGTTCACGGGGACAAATATTTCTTGTCTGCTCGCTAACGTCCGCCATTACGGAACTAAAGGAAGTACCCAATTTCCATGTTCCCCAAAGTCCAATACTGGAGGCTTCGAAACGTTTCATGTTGAGTGAATCATTTCACTGATATGATTCATTTCCTGCATCATATAGCCAATATATATATATATATATATATATATATATATATATATATATATATATATATATATATATATATATATATAGCCTATATATATATATATATATATATATATAGCCTATATATATATATATATATATATATATATATATATATATATATATATATATAGGCTATATATATATATATATATATATATATATATATATATATATATATATATATATATATATATATATATATATATATATATAAATAAATAAAGGGCCTATATATACAGTAACCAGTATTTGTCTAATAAATCACTTCATTATGAGTTGGTATCTTCAAGATGTAGATCTAGGTCATGCAAGGTGTGTTGAAAACCTTCGTGTGTGTTGATGTGTTTATTGATTTCTTTGTCATGTTGCTTTGACACACAAAGCGTGATGTTAAGCAATACATATAAATCCGTGTATAAATCCGTGTGCTGGTTATTCTGTTATAGTATGATGATATTTAAAATCAAAAGTTTAAAAATGATAGAAAACAACGTTTTATGTAACATCTGGATAGTTATATCCAGCTTTAACGCTGAAACTGGCGACAGCAATGAAAACAACCAATAAGCCAGAGGGGGGACTGATATGAAGCTAAACACAGGGAAATCCCTTTTTTATCTCAATATACTCATGTACTAATTAATATGATTTCATTTCGACTACTGAAAAAATAATTTAATTAAAAAATAATAATATAGAAATGACAAACTTTTCAGTGAACTACTATTGACCTTTCTATTACGCGCTACGCTATCTGTAACACTTATCAAGTTGTGTAGAATTATAATAGTGGTAACTGGTTCATGGGACACACACACATTTAAAGTAACCTTTTAAATGATGTAAAACATAAGAACTCAAATAGTGTTTATCATTGAGTCATTAAACCGCAATCATTTTTCGAACTAGTCCTTCAGGTTTAACCCCATAGGAACCACTGCCATTACCAAGACGGTACCTTTTTCCTACTTCTTTTAAAATACATCCTCTAAACGAGGATGCGAAGTGGACAACAAGAAGAAAGAAATCGTCATCAGAAAAAAGAAAAAAAAAAAAACAAGATCAGCTTTGCAATGTTTATTTAGAGAAAAAAAATGCGAAAAAAACTACACCAAGTCACAGATTATTGTTAACCATTTAAAATATATTTACACTCGAGTTATTGCCCCTGTCTGTCTCGTGGGCCAATTGTGGACACGGAGATTTGTCACGTGCCCCTAACAATGGCTGGCGTTAGAACAGGAAATCAAAGTTTGTTTGCTAGTTATAACACTTAGGAGTTCTCTCCCCTTGAAGCGCCATCTTCCTTCCTGTCCGACCATCGCATTTGATATCCGATACTCTTGTTTTTTTTTTTTTAGTCTTTGGTCTCTTTAAAAATGGCAAATATTCTTTCTATTTGCGATTCAAATTTTGCCATTAAAAACGAAGTGTATCACAAATGACATGAAAATCAAACATATGACATTGTTTCTGTTGTCAGAAGTTCGGCCTTCACCGACAAGCGGGGGTTTTAAGGAGGTTGCGTATCAAAGTCAAATACACATAACAGTGTTGAAGGTCATAACTGAACGCCAATTTTTTTTCCCGGCATCGCTATACGTGGTAGAAAGAGATGAGCTATGTCTTAGTAGGGTCTCAATGGCTATGACGTCAGTGAATCGCCTCAACCATATTTAACCCGTCGTTGTTTTTGAGGAAGGGGATGTTCTGGAGGACCCCCTGCTCCGCGTGCTGTATCGTCCGGCACACCTTCTCCTCCACCATCTCCCCCTCCCCCTCCTCGTCGTCGTAGTCCAGCTCCGTGACGTCGATGTTCTCGTTGCCCATGTCGTCGCTCTCCTCCCTCTCGTCCGTCGTGTCCAGGGCGTCGTCCATCTTGGCCAGGGCTTTGTTCTCATTGGTCGATTCTTCTGCACGTGGTTTGGGGTCACTGCTGGACTTTTTGCTGCGTTTCCACTTCATTCGTCTGTTCTGGAACCAGATTTTCACCTGCAGGAAAAAAAAATATATTTAAAATTATTTTTAAAAACCAACACAGATTAAACAAAAGGTGAATGTGGAAGGCGTGGTAGGATGGTAGAGGATACGACTGCTAATCCGAAAGTCTTGAGGTCGAATCCGGGTTCGTGTCAGCACAACGTCCTTAAACCCACCCAGCTCTTAGGGTACCTTAGGCAAATAAGGGCGGCTGGGCATAGTGCTGACCACACTATCCCTTCATATTTACTACATAGTTACTGAAACAGGTGAACTCTACTTCACCCGCACAATGTAAAGTCAGATTCCAACGAGTACTTAACTAAGCCAAAATACGTATTTTTGAAAATGTACAGTTTGGTCACAATGTCAGGTACCATTTCATTGTAGAGTACTGTATACATTTTGGCATTCATCTCTAATCGCTAGTTTAACGACTCTATAATTGGTATGGGTTTATGAGGTTGTGCTGATTATGAATCAATAGACTGAAAGCTATATTTGAAAGACCAAAGTAAAATAAAATCCATCAACACAATGTCGATACCAAAATGTAAGATTTTAAAAGATTGTATCTAGCGTATTTAGTAATCGATCCCAACCATGTTTTACTCATCCTAATGTTAAAGCTGATAGTAAACGAATAAAGTGTTATCATTGATAGGTGTGAAATATTCATACAATGGACTCAAATCTGAATGACTTCCTTGAGTTCACTCAGCTATAATCAATACCTGACTTACGGTAGCCGGCTGGGCAGAATGTTGAATACACTATCCCTATGTCTACCGCGGCCATTGAAATAGATGAACTCTACTTCATCTACCTTGGGCACGAACAACAGATGACGTAAGCGCCTACCTGGGTCTCAGTCAGCATGAGTGACGTGGCCACCTCAAAGCGTTTGGGTCGGGACAGGTACTTGTTCATCTTGAACTGTCGCTCCAGCTCCAGGAGCTGCTGAGAGGTGAAGGCCGTTCTTGGACGCCGGGTCTTGCCCAGGGCTGACCCCTGACCTCCGCCTGAGAGGAGAAGAAAGAAAAATTGGGGTTGAAGATTTTTGTATGTATTACACTGTGTGTTGATCAATGATATTGGACAATGATTAGATTAGAAATGTTAGTCGAGAAATTTGATACAGAATCAGTTTCTTTCAGGTATATCTCCTGGAGGTGTGTGTGTTTCTTCGTGACTTTTTTCTCTTGGGGGGAAGGGGGGGCACTTATAATATTGGGGGGGGGGCGGACAAAAATTTCCGGTAGGTGGTGGGCGGACATTGGTAGAACTATATAAATTCTATTTAGTTCGGGGGGGGGGGGGCGGTAGATGTTTTTCGAGAAGGGGGGGGGGGGCGAGCTGAGCCCCCTCGAAACACTGGCCACAGCCGCTGGGTCGAAATAGAAATTTTTGTTATAGAAAATATATACGCTAACTATTGGACGTTCCCTCCAAACAACAGGACATTTTTAAGGTGTACCTCCCGGAAGTTTCAGGTTACCCCCACTCCCCACCCCCAATATATATTGGAAACCATGTTCATAAAAGCGATCGAGGATATTAATCAATGATAAAGGTTATTGATAATGGATGTCAATCATGGTGATTGATCTACGACATTTCATCGATCCAGTTTGTTGATCAGAAATACTGAAGGAATATATTGGTCAAGGATATTGATAAATATTGAACAAGAAAGATAATTTGACGTTGATATCAATGCATATCTGAGACAATGATCAAGAATTAGGATCAATTATATTTATGAAAGATCGATATAATTTGTGTATTTACCTTTTAACAATAATTTAAAAAAAAACTCTACTTAGATCTCCGCGAAGAAATATTTTGATTAGTGAACACAGATTCCATTTTCGGTAGTTAACCTCAACGATTTTGTGTCAAAAACACAATAGTTACGTCCTAAGTTCAGCACCAGTTACTGCCCCTTCTCCAAATCACCGCTAACTATTTAAAAGACAACTTATCTACCGAGCCTAACCGGGCGACGGAGCCGGTAATTGAAGCCGTGTCGAGGGCCGGACCAGGGCCGGGACAGGAGGGGAAAAGTTAGGCAACTCTAAGAGAAATGGAGAAAGATCATCTCACGATGTGCTTTGCTTCCAGCTTTTTGCTTGATTAGTCCGGCGTTCGTATGACATGAGTGATCGCCCTTCTTCTGCCATCTTCGCTTTTGTGAGCCAAAAAGTAATTGATGGGATGCGCGCGCATTCCGATTCGGACCGCTCCAAGGACCGCGTAAGTAAATGGGAGCGCCAATATGAATCGAATGTGCATTTACGTGAGTCAAATCTTCCGAGTGTTTCCTCCAGTGGACGAGGGGGCACGAAATGGATTGGCGAAGAACACGAATTGGCTAAGTGCGAGGGAATGAAACTTCAACAGGCAACCTACGAGCGGCGGTTACACGTCTAGAGGCGATCAGCAAATACGGTTATTCATCGGAGGAGAATAGAGCTGGTTTAGCCACGCCATAGAGGACGTGGCCCCGGAGTGAGGGGTTGGGCGGGGGTGTCGATTCGTTGGGCAATGACTGGGTACACCCCCCCCCCCCCCCGGGGGAGAGGGTGCTCGGGTCTGGAAGGAGATGTGGAGCTGACGGGCCGAGGTTTAATGGAATGACATTTTCTTCATGCCGACGCTCTTGGTTGCCAGATTTTTTTTTCTCTCGCTCCAATCTGGCATGAAATTCTCCGGAAGTGAGGTGGAAAAATTGTGGCCATTTACGTAAATGTTTGTCGAGATGTAGGTTTACAAGAAAATTAAAAAGGCGGTGGGGTTATCATCATATAGGATATAGAAGACTACATTTTTAAACATGATTTATGGTTCGGCGTGGTCGAGTCGGTAAAGCTCATGGTTGCTAAACCGAAAAGTCTCGAGTTCAAACCCTCGGGCAGATGAGGCTCGTTAGCTGGGGACAGCCACTCTTCTAGGAGAGACAACTCCAAAATTAAACAACTGCTGCCTTGTAGTTTGTTCTTGGTTGGACAAAGGCTATGGAAGCAAATCCAAAAAGAAAAGCAGGCTGAAATCGGAGTCAATGGCCTCAATGGCGCATAACCAGTTGACACGTAACGCTTAATTGTGTTGGAGGCGTGGTCGAGTCGGCAAAAAGCTCAAGGTTGATAAATTCGAAAAAGTCTCGAGTTCAAACCCACTGGCAGATAAATCTCGATCCCCTTCAACACTAATAATTAAGAACGAAGAAGAAGAAGAAACATGATTTTTCTTAAATCGAAATATACATTTCAAAATTCAAAAGAATCAAGTCAAGGCAGACTTGAGTATGGAAGTAAATTTTCCGTTCAGACCTGGCGATCTCTAGAGTAGGCGAAGTAGAGTTTAACTGTTTTTGTGACCTCGGCATTAAAAGGGATAATGTGGTCAACACTACGTCCAGACGCATTTACTTTTAGGTACTCATTAGCTCTGTTGTTTTTTTGTGCATGTATATATATATGTGTATAATCATGTTTCTTGATCATGTAATGCGACATCAAATGTTTACATAACATGTTGTATGTAACGGCATCTGGTGTTTTTATACCAGGGAACAGATGTGGAGTTTAAAAAAGTATTTTAGTCGTGTTTTAGTGTTGATCAGGTGTTTAGGTTTACAGAAGTATATACTACAATCTACATCACACGTACAAACGTACTCACCTACCACACATTATCAACCACTCCATACACACTAGATATATATATATATATATATATATATATATATATATATATATATATATATATATATATATATATATATATGAGCAATTCATATGTTGGACATAATTAAGACGCTGATAGCGCTAACATTCTGAATCCCAGACAAATTAGCCCCCTTGCACAGATATGATTTGCATGTTTTTATGTTGCGTTGCAGTCTTTGTCATGCTAATAACGGATATTACCTCCCCTCCACACTCACACACGCGCGCGCGCACACTACTCCATCTGCACTCATCTTTCGTCTGCCGACATATTCTGCTCACAGAAGAAATTTTTAAAATCCCCAAAGAAAATATTTACTGCACAAAACCTTATGCCAAAAACTATAATAAACGGGCTAAAAATAGCACGGGGCTATTGATTGTATGGAAATAGGTATGGAGGAAGCGACAAAATCAACCAATGGCTGATCGTGAAAGAAACGGAAGTGAGTTTTCTGGGCTGGTGGTGGGGGATATAGAAGGGATCAATCACCCACGGGCGGGGCGCTGTTGTCGTATGCTTCACCCATCAACGTGTAATTCACGCGCGCTTCATGGCTCGACCCACTGTGCTCGTTCATATGCAAGGGCGCGGCTCCCCCGGGGGAGCCACAACGCCCGCGGTCGGGCGTCTCATTAGCAAAAAGGCGAGCGAGATAAAGAGGCGTTAAGAAAGGAGTTCTGTTATGCGGAGGGAAGAGGTTGGGGGTGGGGGTGAAGGGGTTAGGGTTAAGTGCTAATGATTCAATATCTTAAAGACTGTAAAAGATCAAACTATCATTTGAAAAAAAGCCATTTCGTGTTCTGACTTCAGTACTAGATTTAAGTTTTATCAGTTGGGCACGGTAACTTTCTATAGTTGATTAAAAAAAATTTTTTAGTAAAATTCCGGGTGAACTTGTATTAGTCTTTATTTTACATTAGGTGATTTTAATTCTGAAAAGGGCACCATTGCAAAATCTTTTTAGACGCTTTAATCTTATAATGTTTTCCTACATTTTGTTTTTGTTTTTATTTTATTAAATAAAAATAATTTTTATTTGAAAAATTATTGTATCCAAGGGGATGAAAATCTGGCAAGTTTTTATACATCTTAACTATTTAAAATCATATTATCCCGCTATAAATTAAAGCTATACAGAAAAAAAAATGATTGCCTTTTTATACCTCCTATTTTTACCCAGCACATTTCAAATGTTTGCCATTCAATTTTGCCGGTCGGGAACTATCGTCAAGAGACCCGGGTTTGAAAGCTCCCACCCCCCTTCCCCTACCCTAATTGGTTGCTCCCAGCCGATATTGCCCAAGATTAACTCGCCTCTTGGACGTCCGCGCGGTTTGAGCGCGCAGCTCCCTCATCACCCGAGTGTCAACATCCGTCCCTATCACGGCCAGATTAAACGCGCATTTTTCCAGCCAAAGGAGCGCAATTTGCTAATTTAATTTACGATTTCGCGACGATTAGTCCCCCGTGTCCCCCGGAAATGTCGCAAATAAAGAGAAAAGATGGTCGGAGGAAGAAAGGGCGAGCACTTGATGGCATTACGTATTCAAAAGATTTCGGCTCTAGATGCTTCCATACCCCAGTCTTTTATGGCCGGTGCTCCTAGACTTTTGTTCTGGGTTTTTTTTTATTTCTCTAGTTCCGACGCCTTTGGCTGCTCATTTAGTTTCTGCACCACCCACAAAGCTAGTTTGTTGTCTGATGATAGCTGAGACCATGCACGTTGCCATGGCAACTACAAGAATTAAAATGTTTACAGTATTCAGTACTATTGGGGAGGTTTTACTCTTGACTGTTTAATCTCCCGGTTAGGTTAGTGATTATTTTTATGATTTTAGTTAAGTTATTGCACATGATTAGTAGGTTCGGGGCGCATGCACAGAAAATAGGATATTTTAAAATATTAGGTTTATGGTTTTACTTAAGATAATGCTTTTGTTCAGGAGCACAAACACACACACACACACACACACACACACTGACGCACACACAGACACACACACAGACACACACACAGACTCACACAGACACACACACAACGCACACACGCAGACAGACACACAAACACACAAAGACACACAAATACTCACAGAGACACACAGACACACACAGACAGACACACAGACACACACAGACAGACAGACAAAAAATTTGTACTATTATAAAGCACGCATTGTCTAAATGAATACATCTATCTCTACTAGATACAGATGTTTTTTAGTTACCGCGTCATTCAACTAAAATTTACATCTATCTAAAACAGACCTACATGGAATTCTTTGAAACAAAAAGAACAGTTTGGAGATCAGTTTATATGTTTAGAAAAAATAAAATTCATTAAAGTGTTATAAAACTCAAATTAGATAAAAAAAAAAAGAATTATTTGGTGTTTTACGGTATTTGGGTCTTGTTTCTAAGTGGTGACAGTTGGGGGGAGGGGGGGGGGGGTGTTTGGGGGAGGTGGGAGCGGGTGACTTCCCCTTGACGCTCAGCATTCTGCCGATCAAATCTGGAGCCGGTTCGATTGACCGGAACATAAAAAACACGGCCGGCTAATCACATTATCATGACAATAGCCGGCTTGTGGCTAAACGGCCACAAAATTCACGAATACGAGTGTGAAATAATACTGAGAAGCTGTGGAATGGGGATGGGGGTGGGAGGAGGGGGGGTGGGGGTTAAAGGATCAGGGGTGGAGGGTTAGGGGTGAGGCGTATGAAGTCCGTTGGAAAAAGAAGAAGGGTGGGGGTGCTGAGGGGGTGTTGAAAGAATAGGAAGACCCTGGTATGGGATGAACTGGGGGGTGGGGGTGGGGATTGAATAGGGTGAGAGTTGACTAAAGAACAGCTAGGATGAACTACAGGGCTTAGGTTATTGGCATGGGCGGAGCCAGAACGGTATCAGTGCGTGTGTGGAAATGGGGGGGGGGGGGGATTCATTGAGGGGGTAGTGCTGCTTTAGAAATTAGAATGGATGTTTCACAGTTTAAGAAAATTGATGAATTTTTTTTTTCATTACGTGCTAATTAAAATGGGGTGGAAGTTCGATGGTATTTTTTTTATTAAAAAAAAATTAAAATTAATGGATGTTTAAATATCACTCTCACGAATTCACCGAGCTAATTAATTAAAATTAAGTCTTTAAGGAAATTTATTTCCTTTTTTTGTGTGTTTTGTTTCTTAAGTTTTCAAATGCATGTTTTTAATGTTTAATGGCTTAAATTTATCCATTGATATGCCTGTAGACTAAGACGATGTAAATAATTAAGTTATGTCCCTTTAATAAGGTCGGTGCCATACAGAGGTATAATGGGCAAGTAACCGCACCAAAGGCTCGAGTTCGGTTATGGACCTTGTGTCCGTTTAAGCTCCTTACTTTACTAAGCTCTGATGGGTATAGAACAGATTGCACTGTGTGACGAAGTCGCATACACAGATAAACTCTATTTCATCTTTCCTATCAACCGTCAGTTCCAAAAAGTTTATTTTCAAGTTAAAATACCCTCTCAGATCTGAATTATCCTAAACCTCAGCACAAAAGGATAGTGAGGTCAGCTATGTTGGCTTAAAGTCGAGCAGTCGTAAAATAGATTAGAACCTGCCGCGTGGTCATTTTGTAAAATACATAGATTCTTTATAAGACTTTAGAACATCGCGCCTACGAAATACTCGTTGCACACTAGATTTTCCCTTTAGAGGGAATATTGATGGTCAGTAGAGTCCCAACCATTTTTCCTTTCTCTGACCTAGGGTCGTTTTACAGTCTTCGTAGGCCCAAGGCACTTTTTGTATTCGTAGGCCCGTCTGACAACAGTAACCATAACCTGTGCTCCAGATCATGTCATGGTTATATTGCAATGGATATGGCAATGGATATGGCGTTGGATAGAGCAATGGATATGGCGTTGATATGACAATGGATTTAGTAATGGTTGTATTTAAACGGGAAAACATGTTCCTTTTTTAAATTCTTTTTTTTTTTACTATCTTTTGCCTACTGTACCTTTTGGATAAGACGGCCCTGTCCTACCAAGTCAGGTACTTATCACAGTTGGATCAACTGAAAGATTTTTACAGACTCCAGTTCAGGGGTAATTTACAATTAGAATTACAACTCTGGTTTTCTTTCGGTGACTTTTGCAACCAAAGCTGGTACCTTACGTATTGCTGAGCTCTTCTTCTTCATTCTTAATTTTAGTGTTGGAAGGGATCTCCTCCAACACAGTTAAGTATACGTGTCAAATGGTTATGCGCCATTGAGGTCATTGACTCCGATTTCAGCCTGCTTTTCTTTTTGGATTTGCTTCCATAGCCTTTGTCCAACCAAGAACAAACTACAAAGCAGCAGTTGTTTGATTTTGGAGTTGTCTCTCCTAGAAGAGTTGCTGTCTCCAGCTAACGAGCCTCATCTGCCCGAGTATAGGGCTGGTAGGTAGGTCACCAAACAGTTCTATGGCTCAATAAAACTTGCATGAGCCATAGAACTGGTTGGTGACCTACTTACTAGCCCTATTGCTGAGCATTTCTTTGGACTTAGCCCGGTCAAGGTCGAGAGTGGTGTCACGATGCCCGGGCAACCCTTGACCACTTTATCTAATACCCTTAAATACATATTCTCTGGGTGCATACATTGTCTCTCATGGCAAAATGGAGCCATGTAATATGTGTGTAGATTTTTTTTTTAAACATGTATGCTTAATTTTTTATACTTTATACAAGACAAGTAATAGCACTAATTACTATACAATCTCCCAGTAAAATTATAAATAATGGAAAAAAGATATAATTAATTAATAATCATTTTTGTGAGTGTGTGAAAACAAGACAGAACTACATAGATTAATAAGGTGGTTGCCCATGCAGTTGAGTGTGGAGAGCGTGTTGTTTGTTCAAAAACCGGATCCTGTTTGTGATTTAGACGAAAAACACGAGGTGAATTTACATCAACTTACAACACCTGGACGTGCCTATTCAACAAACACCCAACACGGCGCGGTGTCACCAAAACAAAACACCCTTTACCCAGATCATACACCGTGATCCAACTCCCCCCCCCCCCCCGCCGGGCCAGGTGCGGCCGCCCGACCACCTGAACTGTACATAACAACCCGTACCTCGGAGGTACAACCCTAGCGTGGCTGTTGCCTAGCAACCGTCGTCATCGGATGGAATTTTTTATTTCAAGAATGTTGGAATAACCGCAAGAAAATGGGTTCGTGTGTTTGGCTGTTTGTAAGTTGGTGAAAATTAACATGTATGTGTATGTGTGTAGGGGGGGGGGGGGGCGACGACGGGGGGACTGGTGATGGAACACCTGTGGGTTGTTTTTTTTAATCAGCAGGGCTGGTGTTGTACACTGTCGTGTAGGTGTCTGTCGTGTAGGTGTCTGTCGTGTAGGTGCCTGTCGTGTAGGTGTGTGTCGTGTAGATGTATGTCGTGTAGGTGTCCGTCGTGTAGATCTCTGTTGTGTAGGTGTCTGTCGTTGTAGGTGTCTGTTGTGTAGGTGTCTGTCGTGTAGGTGTCTGTTGTGTAGGTGTCTGTCGTGTAGGTGTCTGTTGTGTAGGTGTCTGTTGTGTAGGTGTCTGTCGTGTAGGTGTCTGTTGTGTAGGTGTCTGTCGTGTAGGTGTCTGTTGTGTAGGTGTCTGTCGTGTAGGTGTCTGTCGTGTAGGTGTCTGTTGTGTAGGTGTCTGTCGTGTAGGTGTCTGTCGTGTAGGTGTCTGTTGTGTAGGTGTCTGTCGTGTCTGTGTATACACTAACGAGGAGCACTGACGTCGGGCAACTAGTGTTGTGTAATCAGTGTTACATTAGGTTTAGGATTAGATTTTTTTTAATTAACTGTAAACTGTGTCCATTGCAGTTATGTGATAGGCCTAACACCACCATCAAACAACGATCATACAACAACACCATCAAACACCAACACCATCAAACACCAACACCAACATATAACACCACCATCATCAAAGAACAACACCATAAAATAACAGCACCATCAAACACCACCGCCATCAAACAACGCCACCATCATACAACGCCACCATCATACAACAACACCATCACCATCAAACACCACCAACACCAAACAACTCACCCAAATAGTCGCCGGTGTAGTCGACCAGACGAGACACGTACATGCCTGTACGCGCTAACCACTCGGCGTAGTTGATTCCCTGCAGTTGGGCCAGCTTCAGGGCCTGGTCAGCGGGGTGGTGGAAGGCGCTGCCCGACAGTACGGAGGGGAGGTGGTGGGGCGAGAGGCCCCCTGGGGTCGGGCCTTGACCCCCCGGGTATCCGTATAAACCTGCGTTAGGGAACACGTTCTGTGGAAACAGATTATGAAATCAGTTTTTTAAATGATGAATATGGAATTACAAGTAATTGTAAAGTTCTCTGACGGTCCATGAGGCAGGTGAAGTAGAGTACTCTTAATTCTGTGACCTTGGCATACAAAGTTATGATGTGGTCAGCACTGAGCCCAGCCGTTTTTACTTTCCCCAATGTCAGTTAGGAACCCATCAGAGCTAGGCGAACTCAGGGTCGTTGAATCCGGATTCGAACTCGAGACTTTGGGGTTAGCTGTCTAACGCTCTATCGCAAGGCCTCGCCGCCCCACGAAAAGTAACCGAGATGGTTTAAAAATCTGAGAGAAGAAAAGGTGTATAAGACAACCCATAATGTCAACCTATTTGTGAATAAACTACAGATCAAATACTCTGATCTTGTCTAGTGGTTGTCCGTATGAAACGTGTGAAAGAACAGCAGGTTAAGCTAGAAACCTCTCCGCCCTAACAAAGTAGATATGTTAAATTGGGATGTCTTCTTCTTCTTCTGCGTTCTTAATTTTTAGTGGTTGGAAGGGATCGAGCCTTATCTGCCAAAGGGTTTGAACTCGAGACTTTTTCGAATTTATCGACCATGAGCTTTTGTCGACTCGACCACGCCTTCATCACAATTAAGGATACGTGTCAACTGGTTATGCGCCATTAAGGCCATTGACTCCGATTTCAGCCTGCTTATTGGATTTGCTTCCATAGCCTTGGTCCAACCAAGAACAAACTACAAGGCAGCAGTTGTTTGATTTTTGGATGTCTCTCCTAGAAGAGTGCCTGTCCCCAGCTAACGAGCCTCATCTGCCCGAGGGTTTGAACTCGAACTTTTCGGTTTAGCAACCATGAGCTTTACCGACTCGACCACACCGACCCCAAATTGTGATGTATTGTTGTAAATACGTTATTGTAAGACGAAGGTATTATCAATCTCAATTTTTATTGACTTGATATTAAATCGATTTCTATTACTACAAAAATAATTGTATTTAAACCCAGTATCTACAATAGTCTTTTCTTTTATGCATACAAAAATGGATATTTCCAAATTGAAGTGTGTAGACCTATTCATTCTCATTCGAAAATAACTTTTGACTTCAGATCTATTTTTTTCTTTTCAAAGAATATGTTTCAAAGATCACGTCAGATATTTCAAAAGTTGGCTGTTGTTTGTTGATTGTAACATACATAGTTAATTCGCTAACTTCTTAAGAACTGACCATGAACTAGATTGTTTAGGTAAAACATGAGCTTTCCGTGAGATATCTAGTCAGTAATAATCAAAAGATTGTATCTCACTAAGTTTTCAAATGCAGTTAATAATTCAATCTATAGACACTTGTTTATAACTGTTTAAAAATTAAAATAGAAAAGCTAAGTGAAAATAATGTTCTTAATCTTTAAAACTTCCGAAGCGAAGGAATAAATGCGATCTTTAATTTGTTTTAATCATCATTTATAACTCAACGCTGAAATATTTGTTTTATTTTCAAAAGTTATGCATCATTCAACGAATCCAGAAAAAATACATAAAATTACTGTTTGGTTTTAAAGAAATTTAAAGAAATAATCAAAATGTGAAAAATAACACAGAAGCAGCCAAAAATGTACCTGTGTACTAGGCCCTTCAGTTATCGCGGTTAAAACGACCAGAGTCGGCAGCAATAAGTCAAACACCGCGAATTGTATTACCCTCTCATTTTTAACATACGAACATTTTTGTGTGCATGTATAATATCAATACATATATAATGTATATATAATATAAATATGATAAGTGTGCGTAATGATGGATATTTTTTTAATAATCCGCGATGTACTGAGGCCGCAATAAATGAACCAATAAGTAGCGAGGGATGACTGTAGGTTTCATCTGGCTGCTGTATGTCAAAAGTAAATCATCTTTTTGTTTTTAATATATGATATCTAAGTTCTAAAATAATGAAAATTATTAGTAGGGGATATTTTAGGGAATATATGCCTACTTGTCACGGCCAGTTCTTATTCATCAATTCGGGCCAGGATGCCCGACCCACCCTCCCTCTTGGAGCATGTCCACCCCACCCCGCGGGACGAAATAGATGAAAAATAAATCAAAATATATTAAGCATAAATAGAAAATTATAAAATACATTGAGCTCCGCCCCGTAAGTTTCCAATGTTCTCCCCCGAACAAAATATTTGAAAGAAACCTTGTATCTAATGTAAACAAAAAAAAATACAAACCTGGAATCCGAACTGACCGGAAGTCTGGACGAGGGAGTGATGATGCATGTTCAAGAGCCCGGGGCGGGGGATGAAAGGTGGGGAGACGGCCGGTCCGCTCCTTGGTGACGGCGAGTCAGGGCTGTGACTCCTGGGGGTGGAGCTGTAGGACTGTGGGGAGGGGGAGTCACGGTGGGGGCTCTTGCTGCCGGACAACCTGTTGGAGTCGCAGATCTCCGCTGACCGCAAGTTCTGGAACTGTTCTTTCTTCACGAGCGCCGGGTGGAAACTGTTCTGAGGGGCAGGCTCGAAGTGTCGGGATTTCTCCGGGGTGACTCCCGGGGACGTGACGGGCGAGACGGTGGACGTGGGGTGTTGGGGGGAGGAGTGGAAGGTGTTGTGACGTGACGTGACGTCCAGGTCTGCGCCAAACATCCGCTTCACGTCCGCTTCCCGCGCCATTTTGTCATGCGCGTCGGAGGGAAAAGTTTTGTTGACGTGCGCACCGTCCGTTGCGGGCATACGGTACACGGGAAAATCCGGTGTGGCGTGCGGTGTCTGGGTGTCGGGCGTCAGAGGTGTCTGACTGTCCGGCAGTGTTCTGGCGTCTCTCTTGGACGAGGTGACGAGCTGTGACGAGATCGTGACGCTCCTGGCTGCGTCACACACTTTCCTCGCGGTGCTGGGCGAGATCTCGTGGCTGGTTACCATGGCGACGGGGCTGTGGTTGTTCTCTTTGCTGTGGGTTGGCCTCGACGGTATCGTACTCGAGGATGATGTCTTAGCCAACAGGGCATCGATACTAAACGACTTCCGGCTCTCGGATTTCGTCATGGTTCCGGAAGTTGTACGTTGATGATTAAAGATGGCGTCTATGAAGGAAACAAATAGACGCATACATTAATCGAATATATAAACAGATCAAATACTTAAGTATATAAAGATCGTAAACTTTGTAAAATACATTAATAATTATCTGTTAGCTTGATTCAGACTTGTGACTGAGTTCACCCAGCTCTGATGGGCACCTGACTTGCGTTGGGAAAAATAAAGTCGGCTGGGCAAAGTGATGACCACACTATCCCTTCATATGACCCAGGTCAAGAAACGCATGAACTCTAATTCATCAAATGTCAAATTGATCGCTAGGTCTAAAGAGGAATATTTACTTTTAACTTCTGTTTGCATGACACGTTACTGAATATATACATATATATATATATATATATATCTCCGGTAACCACAACCAGTGGCGTAGGCAGGGGGGGGGGGGGGGGTTAGGGGGGTCATAACCCCCCATAGACCCCTCAGTATATATATAAAGTATGAGGGGGTTGCAAATCGACAGTTTGAGGGGGGTGCAAATCGACAGTTTGAGGGGGGGGGTGCAAATCAAAAGTCTGGGGGTGGGGGTGCTAATCGAAAGCTTGTCCCCGGGTAAAAATTGGAACCCCCCCCCCCCTTGAAACGATCCTGGCTACGCCACTGACCACAAGGCTTTTTCAGATGTACACATTTTTTATTTTTATTTTATTTATTTTTATCTATGTCGTTCTACATGCTGCTCAATATTATTAAGTAATTTTAAACAGATTACAAAAATATTTAAGTTATATGAGATGTTTTGCTTGGAATAAAATATTCTCTTGATTTTTATTACATGTATGTTTTGATACCTTTGTACATGTACTGGGGACAAGGATCAACGAATACTAATTATTGAATTGCTGTATTCAAATTCAGGCAAATATTGAACTCGAATCCGATATAGTGTTTAATATGTTAAGCCCAGTTTGAGAGCAAATACTTTTTGAAGAATATCATGGATAACTAAGGCCTACATACATTATTTAATTCAACTTTGACAAAATATAATACAGAAATATAATAGACACGACAAATAATAACAAAATGATTAATAATATCAAATATTTAAAAGTGCGAAAAAGGTTTTGATTAATTCATAATTATATGAAATTTAAAAAATAAATTGAGTTGGAAACAGGCACAAAAAAGCTGGAATTACACACATTAAGTGTGCTGAAACTGAATACAAATACAGAAATAATTACACAGAAGACAAAGACATCATCACAGAAGGAAATCAGGTCGAAACAATAGCTTTTATCTTAACTATTTTACTGCAAGTTTTTGTTTTCGTTTCTAATTCACAATAAAAAAAATATCATGTAAAATTAAAGTGGGACAGTTAATTTATTAAGTATAATAAAAAAACATAACCTTTTTAATGCATATTGCTACCCTAACCCTAACCCTGACCCTAGCTTTAGCCCTAGCTTTATCCCAAACCTTAAGTCTATTACTAGGCCTAATCCAAACCATAATCCTTAATCTTAACACCAACAACTTGACATGTACAATATTATCTATTGAAGAATTTACGAGACCTGAAAAAAATCTCATCTTGATGGACTCCCCCCCCCCCCCCCCGACCCCTCCCATCAGCTATTTGATACTATGACGTAAAAACATGATGCTTAGATGCTTCAACAACTTTATTGTAAACATTGTACATACAGAATAATACGCTTTTTATATAAAAGGAACTGATATGAACCAGTTTCTAAAAATACCAACCAATCACGTCACAGTTCTCTCAACCATGCACTGTACACAAACCCCCAATCTATTTTCAAAACTCTTTATATTTTATTTTCTATTTACCTTTATAATCCGTTAATCCCGTTAATCCCCGCAGCCACTTTATCCCCTCTCAACCTAAATATTTGTCATTTTCTTGGCCTGGACTATCTCCCAATTCGCCTCCTACAACTTAGGCAAGATTGCTCCCCCCACCGTCACCTGTGGCCCAATCTAGCCCTAATAAACAATCTTCTGATAGACGCAGGCGTCAATTCAACACTTCTAACACCTGCAAGATTCGGGGTTTTGGCATCTTATCTTGGTCGTCCGCGCACGGAGATATTTAATGGGGGTTTAATTTGTTGACTTATCCGGCGAGAATGGATCTGCTTTGGTGGAGAGGTAGAGGATCTTCTGTTAGATATTCTGGGAGATGTATGGTAAAAGGTGGGTCTTTAAAAGTCAGTTACAGCGGTTCTTATGTGATTTTGGACAGGGCGGTATTGTAAATTGTAGAGGCATTTAGTTATGTTGTAGTTGTAGTAAGGACAACAGATAGGGCAGGGCGATGTTGTAAAGTGTAGAGGCATTTAGTTCTGTTGTTGTTGGGGTAATGACAAGAGCTAGGGCAGGGATTAGGGGAAGGGTTAGTTATGCAGTAAGAGGGATATTAGTAATAGATTTACAGGCCATCGGATAGCAACCACATAACTGGTGATTACTTATTAAACGCCTGATTTTGATTTTTATTGTAACTCCGCATATTATGGGTTTCGATAAGTTGCTATTTTAAATCTAGAACACCTCCTATGGTTAATGTGCTTGTGTCATGCCTTCAGTAATGGGAAACGGGTGATGTGATTTCTTTGCAATAAAAAATTAAACGCATTTGATTTGCTTTGATATCCCGTATGGACAGTCAAGTCTAGAAAGACTTCACGCAGCAGTGGCGTCGCTAGGTCGGGTGTCACCCGAAGCGGTACTTCGTGGTGTCAGCCCCCCCCCCCCTAGAAACAAAGTATATATATATATATATATATATATATATATATATATATATATATATATATATATGTGTGTGTATGCCACATTATAGTTACCCCGTTTACATAGTGGTGTCACCCCCCCCCCCCCCACCTTCTTGAAATAATTGTCGATATGTACTTAAAAAAACTATTTAACTTTAATTAATCACTAAAGGATCTAGCAAAAAGTCATTATCTTCTGTACATTTTGCAATATTTTGGCTTGGTGTCACCCCCTAAATGGTGTCATTCGGTGCTGTCCGCACCCCCCCCCCCCCCCTCTGATGCCAATTTAAATAAATGTATTACAGGTACAGCTTCAACTAAAAACCCGACTTGGTAATTTCAAATCGATTCTTACTCAAGTTTAAAAATTAAATTATTAAAGTGAGTGTTAATCTACTTAATGAACTGGTCCCAGACGACTATAATCAGTTGTCACACCTCGTTGCTCTCAAGCTTGCAGACTGAGCTACGTCTGTACCAATCGACTAACTGCACCTAGCCAGATCAATTTTACCCAACATGTAGGATGTTGTCATGAAAAAAAGAAACAAATAAAATTTTATTCTTTTACTTATACGTATGTTAAAACATTATCTTACGATGTTCTTTTTTGGAGCTTCTTTAAGCTAATGAAAATTATTTCTGTAATGTTTTGTACTTTTTGATAAATATAATATTTGATTAAAAATAGTTGTATCTATTGCTTTTGGTACTATTGAGACTGTATAAGGATAGAAATTTGTTCTATAAAGCAGATCGCTGGTTAAATTAGTTAGTTCAATGACAATCCCACGCCTTTAAAACAAATTAAAATAAAAGAAAAAACAATCAATTTAATGTAGGCGACTAGGAATTAATAACAATCAGTTAAACATATATTTCGTCTAAGCTTCTTCGTTACTCGACAACCCCCTAGTGAAGGTGAAGAAGAGTCGACCTATTTCTATCGAATGTGTTTACCGTCATATTATTATTAATTTCCGTAAAGATGTTTACAACAAGATGCATTTAACAAAATGAGGAGCCGATTGAAAATGTCTGACAAAATGGCATTGAGCGATACATCAAATGATTTTTGCATTGATCAGAGATTCAAAATTGGTTTAAAAAATTTTTCAAACAGATACAAGAAATGAGAAAAAAACATTGTTTTCGACTTCTTTGAAACATTGCCGTAAAAATAGATAATTCAAATCCAAAAAATAACGTTCTAATCTATTAAAGTGCAAGGAATTTAGAAAATTGTTCATTTTGTGTAGTCCTAAAAGTTTGGTCCTTTAAATCGTATTTAAACAAACATGATTAACAACATAGCTTAGCTTGCCTCTTTTTTTTTTGTTTGTTTGTTTTGCTATTGAATTTCTTAACTTTCTGTCTTAAGGGAAATACATTTTCCTTATTTATTTTACAATTAATTTTCTCTTAAATGTTTTCCAAGTACTATATTATTTGATGGCTGACTTTTGCGGCATTTAGTCGTAATGCGGATTATAATCAGTACGCCACTTAAATTACAATAATACATTGACAATAAGTTAACTCGTTCACCAGTAATAGCAAACTGGATATCATCCCCCCATCTACCTCCCCACCAGTTTTCGCTAAACTGACAATTAAAACGTACTGATTTGTATATTTTTTATTGCAATAATGTTTAGCTGGATATGTAGAGTAAAAATGCCATACTATTTTATGACCAAGTTTATGAATGTATATGTGTCGTATTAGTGTTACGGTTTAGGAAGATGCATCATGTAATGCTGCTGAAATGTTAAAAAGGTATAATATTAAAAAAATAAAGCTTTTATACCTTATGATGTCAAAATATACAAACATTTTCTATACATTTTTGGGAATGAATTAAAATTTCCATAAAACTATTATATTTATAAAACTATCAAATTGTGGTGTTTTTTTGTTGACCTATATTTCTTAAATGTTATAGGCAACTAATTCGTTTAAAACATTAGGGCAAGCTTTAAAAAGAAATGTAAAAAAATGCAAATACCTGTCATTAAAATAAAGTTAATCGAAGCATGAGAAACTACCCACCAATGCATCAGGTATGGCTACCATTTATACTGACACCCAACTTTCTGGGCCATCAAAAACAAATTCTTTTAGAAATAGGCAACGCATTTAAAGAATTATTATCAAAATAACTATAACAGTAGTAGAAAAATATATAGATCCTAGACATTTCAAATATAATATCTTAAGAAGTTGAGATGTTTGAGATATCAAAATATATCTGTACTTTGTTATTCTATAGAAACTCTTGTTATTTCACCAGCTTTAAAAACGTTATGTTTATTTATTATACAGCGGTGTTGGTAAACATCTTTGACTGTTTTATGAACTCCTCAGAACATTCGTTGCGGAATTTTTAAAATTAACATCTATAAGTGGCGTAAAGTGACGTTATAAAATAGGCCTATATAAAAATGTTAATTCGTTTATCCATTAATTGGTTCTAAAAGTAGACTTTGATGAAGCGGAAGGCAATAAAACAGAAGAATACAATCAATACAGAGAGATAATTATCTTAGCATTGGGTGACGTACATGTCCGTCACGTGAATGACTGCTCACCTACACATCTACCAGATCAAATACTCACCGGTCCTGACAGGCTAGAGGTGACCGTTGATGGGTGGAGTTGGGCAGGTGGTGTCGTTTCTTGGCATGACGTCACACAGGTGGTGAGGAGTGAGGTTAAGATACTTGGTTGTTGTTTAAATTAGTCCGAATTCGTGATGAAAAAAAGGTAAACTAACGGAACATGAATCTTGAGTCGTGAATTATGAGTCCCGATGCTCACACAACTTCTGAATTTGGTGAAGATATATTTTACCCGAAAATAGTCCAAAAAGTTTTTTATCTCAATTTTCTAAACACACTTTAAATTTTTTTAAATATTTTGTAAAGTTTATTGAAAAAGAGCTAACACCTGCTTTGGTTCGTTACAGAGATATGTTATCAGCAAAGGTTTATTCTAAAACAAGTTCACTGATTCCACTTTGTTTTCTCGCGTTTAATTAACTATCCCCAACGCCGGCTATTACTAGACTAATCTACCATCACCCTACCGTCAGGGTTAAAAAGCAAAATCTCCCTCCCCCGCCCAGCCCCGGGGCCGCCTCACCGGGGTGCCAATCACCCATCCTGACAAATGTTGGCCTGCCGTTCACTCCCCTGACACGCCCCGTGCGGCTGCTCGTCCGGGGCTAGCAGCAGACGACACGGGGTCCATCGCTGATTGGCTGCGCGCCGATAGCAAATATTGGCCGGATCAATAATGGCGTCAGGCGACACGGAACGGAGCCCAGCGACTAGATGAGGAAGAAACGGTTGTAATCTAATTGAGGGATGGCACCCTAGGGCAGGGCGCTTAGAGACAAGAACAAATTTCTTGCGTTTATATTCCATACAGGAGAAGAAAAATTTGGCCATGTAAAAATAGAATTTGGCCATGTAAAAATAGAATTTGGCCAGGAATGCTAGCAGGATCAGAATTTTCTTGCGAGAAAAATGGTGGCATCGTGAAGGAATTTTCGAAACGTTTGAGGCATGTTTAAGGTCTGGGGGGTTGTGTTGGGGTTGTCAGCACGCGGGTTGAGGCAGGTTGGAGGCAGAGTTTCTTTCAGGCATCTCCTCGGTCTGAGGTCCCTCCGCGAAGAATGTCTACAGTAGTCGTACCTTTCCCCTGAACGCAATAGAGAAATAGAATATATATATACTTTTAATAGTGTCCGTTTGTCTAGAAAATTAAGTCCGCCCCTCGAAAATTTCAATTGCCCCTTTCTCCTGTACCCCCGGAGAAAAAAGTATGAAAGAAACACTAGTTGCAGGGTTGTGTTAGTACGCGGGTTGATGTAGGTTCAAGTTTGGAGGGTTGTGTCAGCCTGCGGGTTGAGGCAGGTTGGGGGGTTGTGTCAGCCTGCGGGTTGAGGCAGGTTGGAGGGTTGTGTCGGCCTGCGGATTGAGGCAGGTTGGAGGGTTGTGTCAGCCTGCGGGTTGAGGCAGGTTGTAGGGTTGTGTCAGCCTGCGGGTTGAGGCAGGTTGTACTGGACATGGTTGACGTCCATGAAGCAGACAGACTGACGCAGGGCTGGAGCCGCCTGTCCAATGACAATGTACAACCTCCACAGTGTGGCGGCATAACTCTCGGCGTTTCTCGCCGATTTCCGCCTCCTACATTTTGATAATTACACGGGCCACTTATTTCTGTTTGACCCCCGCCCATTTACACATTCTTAGAAAGGTCCTTTGAAAAAAATAATCCGTCGCTGAACAATCGTTTTGTGTCGCATATCGTTGCAAAGTTGGAGACGGATTTAGACTTTTGTTTTGAGACACGTGCAGTGTTGTGTTTCTTCCAGACATTTGTCTCCGTGGGGGGGGGGGGTCACTTGAAATTTTCGGGGTGGGGGGACGACTAAAATTTCCTGGGGGGGGGGGGGGGGGGGGCGGACCCTATAAAAGTGTATATTTTCCATATAATTTCCATTTCGTTCGGTGGGGGGAGGGGGGGGGGCAGAGCCAGCCAGAAAAGATGCCTGGAAGAAACTCTGGACTCGTGACCGAAGGATAAAACTTCAGGATGGTCAGGTCTGGCTAGGGTCAGTAGTAAACTATGACAACCCAGTCACCTGTCAATAATGACACTGACATCTATTTCAACAAAAACTGTCTAAGAATCGGAAGTTAACCGAATACCCCGAACACCAAGGGTTCGTAGGAAAAATAGTTACAAAAAAATGTCACAGAAAAAAAGTCAAAGGAAAAGAAAAAAAGCATGAAATAAAGTCAGATGAAAACGGGTCACAGGTGTGTATTTGCATGGAATTTGTGACCACTTTTATGTTTTCAGAAAGTGCAAATCAACATAAGATTAATTAAACGTAATCTAAACATTTTGGATTTATATGCGTAGGTTGTATATGCAGGATAACATTTGTAAAACATATTTAGTCTGAAGTATGTAGGTTTTAATTCCGTTATAGAATAGAGTTAAGTATAATGTTCCTTTCTACTCAGTGTTATCATATTTTTAAAATACAAACTTTGAATCAGCGTTCGTCGTATCATTATTCTCTATTGCTTGTCGTCCATTGGGGGGGGGGGGGGGATATTGCATTGTCTATTTGATGTGGGGATAGAGTTTATACCATTGCACTGCTGCTTAAAAGTTAACCTTTTTTGGCCCTTACAGTTCATATGGCGATGAATTAGAGTTCATCTGTTATATTTTTAGCCACGGGATATGAAGGGATAGTGTGGTCAGTACTAAATTAATCCGCCTTTACTTTACCAATGTTAGGCAGGGAACAACCAGAGCAGGGTGGACTCGGAGTTTCTTTCAGACATTTTTTACCTCAGTACTGCTACCTCATCACTACTACCTCATCACTGCTACCTCATCACTGCTACCACATCACTGCTACCTCATAACTACTACCACATCACTACTACCTCATCACTACTACCTCATCACTGCTACCTCATCACTACTACCACATCACTGCTATCTCATCACTACTACCTCATCACTACTACCACATCACTTCCACCTCATTATTACCACCTCATCACTACTAGCCCATCACTACTACCTCATCACTACTACCTCATCACTACTACCTCATCACTGCTACCCCATCACTACCACCTCATCACTACTACCTCAGCACTACTACACCATCACTGCTACCTCAACACTACTACCACATCACTACTACCACATTACTACTACCACATCACTGCTACTTCAACACTACTACCACATCACCACTACCACATTACTACTACCACATCACTGCTACTTCAACACTACTACCATATCACCACTACCACATTACTACTACCACATCACTACCACCTCATCACTACTACCTCATCACTACAACCTCATCACTACTACCTCATCACTACTACATCATCACTACTACCTCATCACTACTACCTCATCACTACTACCACATCACTACTACCTCATCACTACTACCTCATCACTACAACCTCATCACTACAACCTCATCACTACTACCTTATCACTACTGTTGCGAAGTGCGTTTCGGTACGGGTCGATGCTGAACTTTACGAACAATAGATGACGACGATCCAATGAAGAACACAGAATGACGCTACGATGTTTCCATCTTTTATTACATATAATATCAACAGCTACATAGACGATAGACGGGACGACGACTTCTAGACATCCTCACAAGACGACGACAAGACCAAGACTGACTTCCAACTATCTTCCTAACAACCAAACAACATTCTCCCTTACGTCACATCTTTATTTCCTTTTTTTACGCATTCATAATCTTCTATTAGCACCACTACACACATACTCTCAAACCATCTACAACTTTACTAACTCCATTCAACTACACACATACTCTCAAACCATCTACAACTTTACTAACTCCATTCAACTACACACATACTCTCAAACCATCGACGACTTTATTAACACACATACTCTCAAACTCACTCCATACACTTAAGTCCATTCACAACAACTAACACCTCATCACTACTACCTCATCACTACTACCACATCACTACTACCTCATCACTGCTGCACCAATCACTACTACCACATCACTGCTACCTTAGCACTACAACGTCATCACTGCTACTCAAGACTGCTTCTTCATGATTGCAACGGAGAATGTTAACTCACACTGCGGGTCAAATGACGTCACTCTTGACCTTGCTGACCCTTAGGTCGATGGATGGCATGACCTACTTCTGGGCACACGACTTGATCTGGCCGAACAACAAAAGAAAAACGTTTGGACAGGAATCACGGTGCCTGGCAGGGTTTAGCAGGGTTTAGCAGGGTTTAGCAGGATTTAGCAGGGTTTAGCATGACATAAAATGTAAATACCGACATGGAATATATTACCGATGTCCGACACTAGACCTTACAGGAGATAGGTGTGCAAAGTTGATAAATGTAGTGTAATCTTAGGTTTAGTGGTATGGTAAATAACAGTAGAATTAGTGATATGATACAACCCGGATTAGGGTTTTGGTTAGTGATAACGTTAGCTCTAACATTAACAAGTTATAGCTGTATTAAGTTATCTAGTAGAAACCCAACACCCTGTTTATAGACGATTCCATTACTGTGGCATTAATGAAGACTAGTATGACACACCGATGCCTAGACTAATTAATGGATAGTCCAAACATTTTATTTTTAATTAAAACAAAGAGAAATATTTTTTAAAAATAAATAAAGCCAAAGCATCATAAAAACAAAACTAAAAAAAAAACGTAAATACAAAATCAAACTATAAAACAATAAAGAAAATAAATTCAATATTCAGAAAAACGAAAAGAAAATCATATAAAAAACTGTACAAAGAAAATCCAGAAACATATTTGCATTTTAAAGACGAACGAAGATTATCGCTTTAAACTTTAAACTGGTTACAATTCTATTGACTCAAAGAAGCTCTTGTGCGGTAACAACAGTGTATTGAATTGGCTGTTAACGCCCACTGTATATGATTGTTCCCTAACGTCCCTTTTCGAAGCGTCGATACCGTGCAAAACATGTAAACAATCGCTCACACCTATAAGTCAGTTACCTTTTTGGATTTGCCAGTCTATGGAGCAGATGAAGCTTTAATCTCTTGGACTGGCCTTGACATGAGGAATGACGTGGTCAGTTTTTCGCCAAGCTTTTACTTTTACTTACGTCAATCAGTTAACCATTAGAGCTGTTGGGCCCAGAGACGTATTGCGGACTCGAACCCAAGATCCGGATTCCAGACTTTCAGGCTAGCAATGATGCGCTCTACCACCCGACCACATACTTAACTTGTAATAATTTTTTAATTTTGCTGCACGTACAAAATTAAATTTTGTATTCCACTGCAAGCAAAATTGCCAACAATTGCTACTTTTCTACCACAAAGTGCTAACATTCTCACCACTAATTGCTAACATGTCCACCACAAATTGCTAAAATTTCCACCACAAATTGCTAAAATTTCCACCACAAATGG